AATTAAAAATTTGAAAAATTGGTCCATAATTCAAAGTAATAAATACATTTCAAAAAATTGAACAAAAACAACAATCAATCAAAATATACATACAGGGTGCGCCAGAACTCAGGCCCCAGAGAAAATTTTCAAGTAAGGCAAGATACCAGGAACACGGAAAAAATTTTGAAAATTGTTTTTTGACATTTAACATTTTTTTATGTTTATTTAATGATACTGATGATCTTGTATATGTTTTTTTTACAATTATTTAGTAAAATTTTGCTAATAAATTTCCTGTTTTAATAGCTTATAGCAAAAAAATTTGGAAAATTACTCATAACTTCGAAACTTTTTTTAACATTTTTCCCGGGATCTTACCTTATATGGCATTTTTCTCTGGGGCGCGAGTTCTGGCGCACCCTGTATTTTCGAAGAGTTACTTTATGTAATTTCATTTGATTTTTATTTCAAAGTTCTTGTTTGAATTTGAAAGAAAAAAAAGATTTAACCGCGTTTTACAACTCCACAAATTTATGTAAATTTGCAAATGGACTAGATGGTGTTAGAACACAGTGACGAATATTAGTGTCATTTGTAAATTTAGTTCAGGAAGGTGGTAGCAGTTCGTGGAAGTTATGGTTCTAAATGAATCAGACATGAATGTCTAGTGTGCGTTATAACCAAAATGGATTAAAGTTCGGTGAAATTAACATTTAGAGTAATTGAGCAATTAGTAAGTCTGGCCTGTTTTTAAACACCACTAATTTATTGGAAATATTTTCAAATCGGTTTACAACTGGCCAATTAATATTTGCGCTAAATTTAGAAATAATTGGCATACCTGAAATTTATTATTTTTTGCTGATTAAATATGTTTGCAACATAGGAATGCAATGCAGAAATCCAATCTATGCAGTTTTTCACTTTTACAACAAGTTAGCACTAATAACAAATTTCTCCCCCAAATAACGCATTTTCAATCAAGATTAGACCTGCAAGCAATTACTTTTAGCTCAACCTGTAGACGAGTACTCAAATATGAAGTGCAAACAAAATCCGAACTCAATTACAGTGCAAAACTTTACCCTACTTTCGAATGCTGATATCAGAGTTTATTTTGCATGCAATCGATACGTCTTTTATTGTGACACCTTGTATAATAAAAATGCAATAAACTGTTAAAATACATATTTAAAAAATTAAAAAACACTGATTCCCTGCCTCAGAAATCGTGATTTGTGATAGAAAACACCTACAATGAAAACGAGTCATCCCGAATATTTTAGAAATTAAAAAGACTTTGCAAAAACGCCGAAACAGGTCAATTTTATTTCCGAGGGGGACATTTTTTAACGAAATTTTTAATGCACCTCCAGTAACCCCCTAACCCCCACGCACTCCAACTTTAAAAATTTAAATGACATTACCTTTCTTGTGGTACATCAATCATCTATTTTAACAAACTTTTCAAAAAAAAATTCTAAAAAATTCATGAGATACAGAGTGTTCTAATAAAAACAAACCAGAAAGAATTTTCAAAAAAAAAACGAAACAGGTTAATTTTGTTTAAAAAAAACAATTTTTGACACAATTTTAAAAGCACCTCCTGGTTTGGCGTTTTTACAAAGTCTTTTTAGTTTCTGAGATATATTGCGTGTTTTAGCAAAATTTCCATTGATCAATGAAGTCTTAAATGCAGAAAAAATACACACAAATTACTAAATCATCACCTTTTAAAAGCCTACATTCGATAACAGTTAAAAATAAAAATAAAATATAAATACGTAATAGCTAATCTAAAAAGATAATTTCTAGCTCCAAACTTCCACTTATTTCTGAAACTTCAATATTTAAATTTTCAACTTTAGAAAAGCAAAATGTTAATTTTTCTCAAATTCTTTTTTAGAAGATACAAACACTGAAACTTTTAGTCGATTTTTTCCAGCAGTGAATATGAATTTAAAGTAAAAAACTTCTAATTTGGTTACACATACGAAACATTTAAATATAAAAAGTAAACAGTACCTAATATAAAGTCGAATATTTACCATCTGCTGTCAATAAAACCGGCTTTAGATTTATTGAATCTCACATCGTCACTAATTTAAGACAGCCTCAAGGAGTTGCCGAACTTTTGAGCCCACAAGCAATAAACCAAGGTTGCAGTAAATTATTAATTAGCATCACATCCACAACAAACCTGAATGAAGAATATATTTTTTTTATTAAAAATTATACAACAATAAAAGTTTCATTGATAATTTAAGCATTCTTTAAGTGTAGGCAATAATTTAGTTAAAATTTAGAAATATTATTTTATAATGTTAAATATTAATAAATTCTGGAACTATTTAGTGCGATGAAACTGCAAAAATTGGAAGTTTATAGAACTATTTTCAGGTATGAGAGCAACTCATAAAAAGTCAACAAACGAAAACAATTGTTTGTTATTGAGCAATTTAGCAAATAATTTGCAAAAAATAAGAAAAATCAAGCACACCACAATGTTCTTTTTTTTTTCAAAAGAAAGCAACGTTTTTTGGCGGAATTGTACAGGGTGCTGCATTTTGGAATCTCCCAAACTAAGAGGTTTAGCCAAAAACGAGTGATACATTCTGAGGCCCATTTTTTGAGAAAATAATATTGTTTAAAACCGTATCCCGCTATCGTCTTTTGTTTTCGACTTATAGACAAAAATTGACATTTTAGCGAAATCTAAAAAATATCATATCTTCGTTATTATAGAAATAAAGGCACTTTTTTACGTAGAATTTAATAATGTAGTTAACTTTTTTTTCAGTTGTTTGTTTAGCCGTAATAAAATAAACTTGTATTTTTTTAAATAGGAATCATAAATGGTTATGTCAATTTTAAAAAGCTGTTTTTTTCTTATTTAAAATATATATATTTGTAACAAATTATTATAATACATTTTTAGCAAAAAAATATCTTTGATTTTTGTTCGCAGTTGGCCATGAAAAAATGTTGTATCTTCAACTAAAAGGATTTAAACTATATTATTCAACCAGAGTGTGACTAATGAAAGAGTTTTCTAAGTACTAAGTAATGAAAAAAAATGCAAAATAAATCGTAAATCAACTTATTGGCGACTAATAACATTTCTTTGTTTTTAAACAAGCTAACATTACCATTGCATCTTCTAGTGATACAGAGTGTTGTAAAAAAAAAGCCGTTTTAATTCTTCAATAAAATATATTTGATATGACACAAAAATGACGATATGACTATTCAAATACCCAAATTCCGTCTATGTGGAACTTTATCCTACCTCCATTAGATCATCAAAAAAAGTTTTTTCTAATTGTGTTGACTGTTGACACATTTGTTTTTCCTATTTTTGGATTTTTTAAAAAGATATAATAATTTTGTTCTGAGGCGCTCGCATATTTGTTCAATACTTCTAACGTATCGTATTTTTTAAATTTATCTATTTTTTCATCTATTTTACAGTTCACAAAACTCTTATTGATTATTGTTTACACATTTGGAGTGAAATAGTTTTTCCTTGGCCAACTATTATCAAACAAAATATGTATTTCACTTTTTAAATATAGTTATAAAAAAAATATTCTGTTACAAATATATATTTTTTAGATCAGAAAAACATAATCTTTTCAAAATTGCCATAGCCGCCTATGATTTCCATTTAAAAAAAATACAAGTTTATCTGATTACGACTAAACCAATAACTGAAAAAAATTGTTAACTACATTATTAAATTCCTCGTAAAAAAGTGCCTGTGTAATGTCTTTATTTCAAATCCGTATCTTCTATAATAACAAAGATATGATTTTTTTTAGATTTCGCCAAAATGTCAACTTTTTAACCAATTCCTGGAAGATTTCTTTCCGGATTCCCCTCGTATTGTGAATGCATTATTTAGTTAAAAACGATTATTTTATTAAAGCGGAACCGGATTATTAAACTTGAGGTAATTAAACATTCGCCAAGTTTCACAGCGGGAAAATTCCATAGTTGACTAATTCAGACTCGTTCTGTTCTGCTTCTCAGTTTCGGATTAAGATCTGAGGTCGCAGAAAATACTATTAAATAAAAGTGGCGATAATGTACTAACTTAGAATTAACAAACGTAATAGTAATAATTTGAAAACTTTGTGGTCTGTTATTCTCAGCGAGTACAGAATGATAAATGATCAGTATTTAATCAATTTTTGCACAGTAAAAATAATAAACGCTTATTAACTTTAACCAAAATTAGTAAAACAACATAAAATTTAAAGAATTTGCAGTCTTGGTTACATATGAATGTATGGTCCCTGCGCAAGAATGGTATTTATTATTGGTACTTATTTTTATATTACTGAATAATAATTTTTATTGGAGGGTGGTATATGTATTAGCAAGGACCCCTGCGCAAGAATGATTTTAGCAACGGCTGGAAACTGTGCACAAATGGTAATCAGTCTTTGCACTGTTGTGCTCCTGATACCACAATTTTGTTTTTAAACGCTTTGCGATATTCCGATTTTGCTCGGAAACATTTTGTTTGTAAATGTGTGAATATTATTAAAGTAAAATTTTGCTAGACATTTATTCATTGTCTTTACTTTGCATTTCTTATTTTTACTGCGCATTTATTATTTTACTGTGCATTTATTATTTTTACTGTGCATTTATTATTTTCCTGTGAATTTATTATTTTTACTGTACATTTTTAATAATTTTTACTGTGCATTTATTATTTTTACTAAACATTTATTATTTTTACTGTGCATTTATTATTCTTATTGTGCATTTATTACTTTTACTGTGCATTTATTATTATACTGTGCATTTATGATTTTTACTATGCATTTAATATTTTTACTGTGCATTTATTATTTTTACTGGGCATTTATCATTTTACTGAGCATTTATTATTTTTATTGATTAAAAATACTTGTGGTTTAAATAATATGCTGTGCATTTAATTTGTTCCCCTTTAAAAAAAACTGCGGTCAATTTATGTTTCACGAAGGAACGGAAGCTGGAAACACAAAGGAGTGCAACCGAAACGTTATTGATTCACTGTGTATGTCGAACAGGTGGCAGCTGATTTATGATTACTATGGGGCGATTCAGCATTTAATCTCTGCGTTTAACACTGACATTTTTTTATTGCTACAAGCAAAATTTATTGTTTTAACATACAAAGTTTAAAGCAGGTTATTGTAGGTGTTGGTAATTTACGCGTTTTTTTAGAAATTCATGAAAAAAATAATTTCAGCTCGTTGAGGGGACAATGAGGTAATTCTCAAAGCGTAACCGGCTTAGAGTATAATACGGGACACAATGAAAATGAAAAATTCTGAAATACTTACTACATTCCGTCTCGTCTGATCCATCTATACAGTCCACAGTCATATCACAGCGATAATGTGGTGGAATACAATACGTTTTATTCCATATATATTGTCTACATGTAAGTTGACCCGGTTCACAATCAGGAGGAGCTGCAACAAAATGTAATATTACAGGAAGGCTATCAAACTTATCCACATATTTACAGCTTGCTTAGAATAAAAACATTTTGCATATTTTATGAATTGTGATAAAATTTTACGGTTTTCTTTCGCTCTTTATATCTTATAATAAAAAATATCGTTGGCCTTTCACCCCACTTTGAAAATCCGCATATTTTGTAAAAAAATTACAACTTCATTCACTTCTCAAATTTGTAATTATAGTCTTAGACCCTGTAATTTTGTACGGGTGAGGCAACAAGAATAGGCTTTGTAATTCAACACAATAGAATATAACCTACAATTGTTAAAAATTTACTAATTGCAGTGATAGTGACTGTATTTCTTCTTTGATTATTTCATGTGTTGCAATAAACCATTGAATTAAAATATTTTAACCACATTTAGGACAAACATTTAAGGATTTATTGATGATCTAGCATTGAAATCATTACACTAATCGCATTTTTTCCCGAAAACTTGTAAACAAATGGCCTATAAAAGAAGCACAATAAATATAACTCAAAGCAGATCGACTTTTATGATTCTAAATAAATAATATTGTATATCAACAAGAACAAAAATTGATTTTTCTTTGCTACAATACTTGGATTTTTGTGTAATTTGAGAACTACAAGTCTCGAGTTTATTTTTATAACCGTGTTGTAAAAGAATTAGCAGAAATATAAACGGAATTTCCTTGCCACAGTAATGTTTGAGACAAACCAGTTTATGAATAAAATAAATTTCATCGGAAACAAAATGAATGTTGTTTGTTAGCGGCCGGAATTTTTTAAGAGAGACAAGGGAAAAACCCAAAACTCTCAAAATTTTATAATTTTGAATTTGGCAAACACTGATTACGTTTTCGTCTAGTTATTAATAATAAAACGTATTTTTCTTTAGTAACACTGATTTCTTGTTTTTTTTTTATTTTTTTTTTTGGAATTAGTTGTTAAAATTTTTGAAATTTGAAATTTCTTGGAATTATTTTGAATTATTATATTATGTTTACAATTACTGAAATTATATGTAATTACTGGAATTCTTTTTGGAATTATTAATTTCTCATTCTCCCTTTTTTTTCTCTCTCAATGTTGTCGTAGTGCTTGGGAATTGATATTACTTTTTTTATTACATTGATTACATTTTTTATTAATTCTCAAATTAATTTGAAATTACAGGAATTAATATAGAATTATAGGAATTAATCTGAAAACAGTGGAATTGCCATGGATTATTGAAATTATTTGAATTTCGGTGAAATTTACTGGATTTTTGGAGAATTTTTGAAATTACACAAAACGACGAAAAAAAGTCATGTTGTGACAACTTGAAAAATTATATATCATATCAAATGCACTAAAAAAAATTCCAAAAATCCACACACTGAACTAAATAATTTTTTTTCTAATTTAAATAAATTTGAAATACTTTAACTTTAAAAAATCAATACTCAGTAACTGTTTATAATGTATTTTGAATTTGGAAAACATTGATTACGTTTTCGCCGTTGATGTGGATTTTTCTAGTTATTAATCAAACGTATTTTTTTAGTAACACTAATTTCTTGTTTTTTTTTAACTTTTTTTCTTAATTCAATTCTAAAATTAATTGTACAAATTTTTGAAATTTAAGGGAAATTTCTTGGAATTTTTATATTATGTTTACAATTACTGAAATTATATGTAATTACTGGAATTCTTTTTGAAATTATTAGTTTCTTCTTCTCCTTTTAGTTTTTTCTTTCAATATTGTCGTGGAGGTTGGGAATTTTAATACTACATTTTTTTTATTACATTGATTACATTTTTTATTAATTCCCAAGCTCCACGACAAATTGAGAAAAAAAATTAGAGCTAATTTCTTTTCAAAATTATATTAAAGTTTTTAAAACTACCGAAATTAATTTGGAATTACAGGAATTAATTTGAAATTATAGGAATTAATCTGAAAACAGTGGAATTGCCATCGATTATTGAAATTATCTGAATTTCGATGAAATCTATTGGATTTTCGGAGGATTTTTGAAATCACACAAGGAGAAAAAAAAGAGTCATGTCGTGGCAACTTGACAAATTATATATCATTTTGTTCGTCTCAGTGAAACAAATCAAATGCAATAAAAAAAAATTAAAAAAGGCCACACACTTTTAACTAAATATTTTTTTTTTCGAATTCAAATGAATTTGAAATACTTTAACTTTAAAAAATCATTACTCAATAACTGTTTATAATGTATTTGGAATTTGGAAAACACTACTTACGTTTTCGCCGTTGAAGTGGATTTTTCTAGTTATTAATAATAAAACGTCATTTTTTAGTAACACTAATTTCTTTTTTATTTTTTTTTCTTAATTCAATTCTAGCATTAGTTGTACAAATTTTGAAATTTAATTAAAATTTCTTAGAATTATTATATTATGTTTACAATTACTGAAATTATATGTAATTACTGGAATTCTTTTTGGAATTGTTAGTTTCTTATTCTCCTTTTAGTTTTTTTCTTTCAATGTTGTCGTGGAGCTTGGGAATTAATACTACTTTTTTTATTACATTGATTACATTACATATTAATTCCCAAGCTCCACGACAAATTGAGAGAAAAAATTAGAGCTAATTCTTTTTCAAAATTATATTAAATTTTTTAAAACTATCGAAATTAATTTGGAATTATAGAAATTAATCTGAAAACAGTGGAATTGCCATGGATTATTGAAATTATTTGAATTTCGGTGAAATTTACTGGATTTTTGGGGAATTTTTGAAATTACACAAAACGACGAAAAAAAGTCATGTTGTGACAACTTGAAAAATTATATATCATATCAAATGCACTAAAACAAAATTCCAAAAATCCACACACTGAACTAAATAATTTTTTTTCTAATTTAAATGAATTTGAAATACTTTAACTTTAAAAAATCATTACTCAGTAACTGTTTATAATGTATTTTAATTTGGAAAACATTGATTACGTTTTCGCCGTTGATGTGGATTTTTCTAGTTATTAATCAAACGTATTTTTTTAGTAACTCTAATTTCTTGTTTTTTTTTTAACTTTTTTTCTTAATTCAATTCTAGAATTAATTGTACAAATTTTTGAAATTTAAGGGAAATTTCTTGGAATTTTTATATTAAGTTTACAATTACTGAAATTATATGTAAATTACTTTTTTTGGAATTCGTAGTTTCTTATTCTTCTTTTAGTTTTTTCTCTCAATGTTGTCGTGGAGCTTGGGATTTATAAGCACATTTTTTTTATTACATTGATTACATTTTTTATTAATTCCCAAGTTCCACGACAACATTGAGAGAAAAAATTAGAGCTAATTTCTTTACAAAATTATATTAAATTTCTTAGAATTATCGAAATTAATTTGGAATTATAGGAATTAATCTGAAGACGTGGAATTGCCATGGACTATTAAAATTATTTGAATTTCGGTGAAATTTCCTGCATTTTCGGGGGATTTTTTTGAAATTACTGAATTTTCGCTTGAATACACATTTTTTGAAGCTTGAAATTGTAATTATTTTTTGTAAAAATACGACAATTATTTTTTGTGAATTCAAATGGTCAAAAAATTCTCCTCGACTCTGAGAGAGGAAAAAAATTACGGCCGTTTCTCACAGTCTACAAAACCTAATATTATCAAAATGAGGAAAATGTTTTATATTTCATCACAAGAGCGTCATTATAAAACGTCGTTGTTGCATTATTAAAACTTTCGCCCCAGTTTGAAAAAAATACTTACAGCATGATTGAAACTCATCCTCCCCCTTTTCACAGTCTTTTTCATAATTGCATACCCATATTGCCGGAATGCATTTTCCTTCAGGACACCGGAACATGCCCAAAGGACAAACAACTCCCGAAGGATCTCCACCTGGAAATGAAATATTTTATTTTTGTGTTATTTATTCGTAATCATCCAGTTTTGTGATTGGTGACAGGTTAATCGAGTGAGTCATTGTGATAAGCCGCTGACATTTTCAAATCTCCCCTAGAGTCTCTGGATGTCGACAACACATCCCCATTTGCAGTTTAGTTCTAATTTCATGTTAACATCGCGAAATGTGGGCTTTGCATTTAGTAGACGTTGCTCGAGGGATTACTATTAGCATATGAAATCTATGCTAAATTTCGCCTTTAATAAAAGATCGCACTTGATATACTTCAAAATATGCAAAATGTATAACGTAAATTACGAACGATAAAAAGCGAAAAGGAAATTAACTAAAAAATTCAGTTCATATTAACTTAAAAAGATAAAATACCCCAGTTTGATGTTTTTTTTTTTTTTCTAAATTTCTGTCTATAAATTTTGGAAACCATGGGTGGTACTAACGTCATTTCCGCTTGAATATAATGTTTGACAGGCGGATACGAAACAAATTGTTTACCTACAGACCTTCCTCTTCACATATTTATCATGCAGGTGCTTTTTCCTTCTAAATTCGAGTTTAAAATACTAAGAAAAATTCACTTCACTGTTTGTTCTTCTAGAAACCAAACAATATTCAAGTTCAATTTCAAATTATTATTATTGTTGCAACTTAGAGCTAAATTATAAAAAAGAAAAATAATAAAAACCACAAAATAATTAATTAGATAAAACATTACTTGATTTTTTATTCCTTGATTATTATTTGTAAGATCTGAGTCGTTTTAGTCTTCCTGTGATGAGGAAAATTAATTTTCCAACAAAACTTGAACGGTTTCAGTTCCATTTTATATTTCCTACACAAAATATTCACATTTCCATATTTTTAAATTGTAAATTGTAAATTGTCTGATTTTGCACAATTTAGACAAAATAGGGAATCTCCGAAACCAAGAGGTTTAGCCAAAAACGAGTGATACATTCTGAGGCTCATTTTTCGAGAAAATAATATTGGTTAAAACCGTATACCGCTATCGTCTTTTGATTTCGACTTATAGACAAAAATTGACATTTTAGCGAAATCTAAAAAAATATCATATCTTCGTTATTATAGAAGATGCAGATTTGAAATAAAGGCACTTTTTTACGTAGAATTTAATAATGTGGTTAACAATTTTTTTCATTTGTTTGTGTAGTCGTAATAAAATAAACTTGTATTTTTTTTAAATGGGAACCATAGATGGCTATGTCATTTTTAAAAAGCTTGTTTTTTTCTTATCTAAAAAATACATATTTGTAACAAATTATTATAATACATTTTTAGCAAAAAATTATCTTTGATTTTTGTTCGCAGTTGGCCATGAAAAAATGTTGCATCTTCAACTAAAAGGATTTAAACTATATTATTCAACGTGTCACTAATGAAAGAGTTTTCTAAGTAATAAAAAATGAAAAAAATGCAAAATAAATCGTAAATCAACTTATTGGCCACTAATAACATTTTTTTGTTTATAAACAAGCTAACATTACCATTGCAACTTCTAGTGATATATAGAGTGTTGTAAAAAAAGCCGCTTTAATTCTTCAATAAAATATATTTTATATGACACAAAAATGACGATATGGCTATTCAAATACCCAAATTCCGTCTATGTGGAACTTTATCCTACCTCCATTAGACCACCAAAAAAAAATTTTTTCTAATTGTGTTGACTGTTGACACATTTGTTTTTCCTATTTTTGGATTTTTTAAAAATATGTAATAATTTTGTTCTGAGGCGCTTGCATATGTGTTCAATACTTCTAACGTATTGTATTTTTAAAATTTTTATAATTTTATCTATTTTTTCATCTATTTTACAGTTCACAAAACTCTTATTGATTATTATTTACACATTTGGAGTGAAATAGTTTTTCCATTGCCAACTATTATCAAACAAAATATGTATTTCATTTTTTAAGTATAATTATAAAAAAATATTCAGTTACAAATATATATTTTTTAGATCAGAAAAAAATAAGCTTTACAAAATTGCCATAGCCGCCTATGATTTCCATTTAAAAAAATACAAGTTTATATTATTACGACTAAACAAACAACTGAAAAAAATTGATAACTACATTATTAAATTCTACGTAAAAAAGTGCCTGGATAATGTCTTTATTTCAAATCCGTATCTTCTATAATAACGAAGATATGATTTTTTTAGATCTCGCCAAAATGTCAACTTTTGTTTGTAAGTCTGTAAATGTTGCGTTTTAAAACTGTAATCGTTAAAAAAAACTTTTTGTAAAAAACCGATCAAATTTTTAAACAGTTTTAGTGCGAACCAAAATTAATAATTTTTCGCCTGTAACGATAAAAAGATTTCCTTCTTCTCAGCCCAAAGTTCAAAGTCCGACAAAACCTTTAATTGATTAAAAGTGTAATAATTAATAACACGAATCTGGGCTAATTGAAGTTCTGTTGGGGTTTGCGGTTTTCCAGAGATCGTATTTAGAGCGGTTACCACATAAAAACTTTCAACTTGCTTGAACAATCACAGAGCAATTTTGATGTTATTTGATTATAATTTTACCACGTCGGAAAATTGTTGTTTTGAAAATGTTGGAAGTGAATAACAAAAACTATGAAAGGATAATAAAGTTGGTAGAACGCTAATTATTCAAATATTCCACGACGGGAATTAGTTTTCATCCATGGCTAAACACAAGCAACTTGAGTATTTTTCTCTTACAAATAAAGTTTCTTTTTTAATTTACTTTATGAATTTTCCCCCCTATCATGTTCCAAACTTTTCACACTTAAAAACTTTTAAAAAGTTTCCAAACACGATGCTTTTAAGTTCTATATTGTGAAATCAGTAAAATTCGTAATTATGTGAACATCAAGGGTCGCGATTGTTGTTCCTGATGATGACACTAAAGGTCACTTTAAAACAAATTAGGAAGAAATTACGGAAATACTGAGTATTGAAGGTAATCCACAAGGAATTCCTCACAGTTTTGAATATACAGGGTGTTCCGGCTAAACCCCACACTAGAAGTATTGGGTGTTCTAATAGTCATATGTATCTAAAATTTTGTTTATTGGTTCTGTTGAGTGAAAATATTTTCAAGATGGTGGCACTTCCTGTTACACCGGAGGTGGATATCGTTATTTTAAATAGAAAGCTATGTTTTTTATTGCGTTTTTGGATTAATCAAGTGATTTCGAGGGTGTTTTCATTGGCCTTCTCTATACCTAAGTTTAAACGTTTTCGAAATATTTAGACCATTTAAAATTTTTTTGGATTTGAATCTTGATATTCAAAAATCTATAACTCTACCATTTTTAATTATCTTGAAACCGTATTTGGGTATACGAGACAAAAGGGTTAGATCTTCCCTTTGGTGTATTCATAGTGGGAAAAATAATTAACAAACGGCCAAAATTTAAGGTTACATTTAGGAAACTTCAAATACCCTTAACTCAATTTTTCTAAAAGAAACACCCCAATTTTTTCTTCACTAAATAGAAGAGAATTTAGTTCTGCTTCGATCTGTATCTGTATTACAATTCCCTATACCTATGTTTGATAGTTTTCAAGTTATAGTACCTTTTTTTGATATTGTGAGAAATTCATTAGCTACTGTAGCATAGTTTGTCATAGAAATAAGAAAAAAATATAATATCAAAGTAATTCAAATCTAGATTAAATAAACTTAATTCGTATTTACGAAAAGAATGAAAAAAAACTTGGAGTTTTTTCAGTGAGACATGGCAAACTATGCGAAAACTACCATGGATAGTAATGAATTTCTTTCATTGTAAAAAAAAGTTAAAATAACTTGGAAATCATTAAATTTAGGTATAGGGAATGTTGATACAGATCGATGCAGAATTAAATTCTCTTTCATTTAGTTAAGAAAAAATTGGGGCCTTCCATTAGAAAAAATTCAGTTACAGGTATTTGAAGTTCCCCAAACGTAACCTTAAATTTTGGAGGTTTGTTAATTATTTTTCCAATTATAAATACACGAAAGAAAAGATCTAACCTTTCTTTTTCATATGCCATATTATTTCAAAATAATTAAAAATGGTAGAGTTATCGATTTTTGGAGAGAAAGATGCAAATTAAAAAAAAATCAAAAAAGTCTAAACATTTCAAAAACGGTTAAATTTAGTTTTTAGTATTTTCATTGAGCAGGATTTAAACGATTATGGCTATAGTTAAAATTTTAGATAAATATCACTGTTAGATAGGGTTTAGCCGGAACAGCCTGTATTACTAGGATTAGTTATTACCTTCCTTAGATTCAATAAATGTCAAATATGCATTTTCCTTGGATTCCTGTTTTAAATTGCGTGATTGTATTTTAAATTTTTGCTTGTAAACATGTGGGTGTGAAATTAATGGATAATGCGCTATGACAGGAATAATAATTTCCATTTGATTTTAATTACCCTCAACATAAAATCTTTCATAATTTACACGCTATATCCCTACTTGTGCTTCCATTTTTTAAAAAAGCTTGTTAAAAGAGTATCTAATGAGCGGATAGGGACAGGGCCGGACTGGCCACGAAGACTTAACATTTATACCAGTAAATTACTGTCTGTAAATTAAAGTTACTATCTCAAAGAAAAAAACATTTCTCAATTTTTTCTTTTTAATACCAACAGAAAAGCCAAAATTTAGTTCAAAGTTTAGGAAAGAAAGTTTAGAAAGAAATCTGGTGTGAACATCACACGACTTTCCTTATCCAACTTATTTGGAAAACATCCTTACGACAATAATTTATTGTTGGAAAACCTAAAATGTATCTTTTTTTAAAAGATTTTGTTTTGAATATCCCAAAAATAAACCCTAAATGTGAGTAATGTGAGTAATTAAAATTCGAAAAATTTCGAAAAAGAAAGCATGAAATCAAAGTGGATAAATTGCATTATTTTCGCAAATATTGCGACATTTAGAAAGTATATCACTAAAAGACACACTAATTTCGAGTGATTTCGCCAA